GCACTGAAAGAACGAAGATTTCCTAAAGGACACTGGCAGGAGGTTTTTCCTTTTCAACAACAAAAAGAAAATCCATGATTGTTTCATGGACATCATATGGAGGCCAGCTGTTCTTATGTTCGATTTTTTAAACTGGATTTAGATGCCACCAGCTGCCATGCTGAGAGTTGAACCAGGAATTATCCTGGGTCTCTCGATTACTAGCCCAGTTACATTTCCATGACGCCATCATCTCACCACCAAAAAGGTATTGATGCTGCTGACCCAGGTGAATGTTTTAAAGTAATAAGAACCTATAAATCATGATACAAATGATCCTGAATGAAAGCTCTGGAGAACACGCAGGAGGAGAGGGTCAGCCTAATGTCATTTATGCCATCAACATTTAAACAGACTGTGTGCAACATATCTCACATACATCTTACATAACCAGTATTACCATCACAACTTGGTCTATGCTGATAACTCTCGAGAAGCAGTTAACAAGAGAAATGGAGAAACAAACGGCTTCTCTGAGCAAAAAGTCCAGACAAAATAACTAGAAATTTTTACAAGGAAGAAGAAAGAAACTGAGATCCTGCTTCAAATTTTACCAAGTAATCCTTGCTCACACTAACTTCCTCATAAATTTGAGGACTTCCAATCCAAGTGTTGTTGCACATCGCTGTGCACAGGAATTAATAGCCAAATTTGCATGCGCAGTAACTTGTATTCTCCCCATCATATAGATGGCAAAATTTTGCAGGGCCCATTCATCCCCACACCCAAAATCTCCACGTTCCCAACATGCAAAATAGTGACATAAAGCCTCTCATTTTAAATCTGCACGGAATTCCACTTAGGAAAGTGAGAAATCTATACATTCGAGGCACGAGGAAAGTAAACTCCATGAAACATGTTGCTACGTGATCATGTCCTGTCAGAGTGTCTACGAACTAGTATAGAAAAGCTTTACTGTTAATATTGGACTTCCTACATGTGAAAGTGAAAACTATTATTTGGGGTGACACAGTCAGAAGTCACACAACACTAGGTTATAGTCCAACAGGTTTGTTGGAAATCACAAGCTTTCGGAGAGCTGCTCCTTCATCAGGTGAAGTCACTTGGGTTGTGTAATTTCCGACTTTGCCCGCCCTAGTCCTACACCAGCACCTCCACATCATTAGTAACACATTGCAGATTACCAAATAAATGCAGGGATATATACAGAATCAAATACAACATAATCCTGTACGTTACTGGAATGGAATAGTCAGTAAGGGTCATTTATAACCAGGGCAAATGGAGTTTGAGCTCAGGTGGAGGGAAATATTAACTTCACATTAATAAGGACACAAGGACCTCTGTAGCCAATCTCTTGAGACAGATTTTGTTTTTAAAAAGGCAATTTCCCATCAGCAACCCACGGCCACCTGAAGTGCACGTTAAAAATTTAATGGGTGTCAGGCAAGAAAAATGTCGACGTTTGTTTGGGAGATTGAGCATAATGTATCTGAAACTCTGACAGAAGTATCAGACTGGATTGCTAACTCCATTTTTACAAACATTACGAAAGTGACTACAGCTTGAAAGTAGATAACAAGGTGTAGAGCTGGATGAACAAAGCAGGCCAAGCAGCATCAGAGGAGCAGGAAGGCTGACGTTTCGGACCTAGACTCTTCTTCAGAAATGGGGGAGGGGAAGGGGGTTCTGAAATAAATAGGGGGAGAGGAGGAGGCGGATAGAAGACGGATAGAGGAGAAGATAGGTGGAGAGGAGACAGACAGGTCAAAGAGGCGGGGATGGAGCCAGTAAAAGTGAGTGTAGGTGGGGAGGTAGGGAGGAGTTAGGTCAGTCCAGGGAGGATGGACAGGTCAAGGGGGCAGGATGAGGTTAGTAGGTAGGAGGTGCGGGTGGGGCTTGAGGTGGAAGGAGGGGATAGGTGGGAGGAAGGACAGGTTAGGGAGGCGGAGGACAAGCTGG